CATCAGAAAAGCTTTTCTGATGAAGGGTCTAGGCCCGAAACGTCAGCCTCTCTGCTCCTATGATGCTGCTTGGCCTGCTGTGTTCATCCAGCCCTGCACCTTGTTGTCTCGGATTCTCCAGCATCTGCAGTTCCTACTATCTCTATTCTATAATGTATGTTTGTCCATCCTGGGCATGGAGAAACATGAGAGAGTGTTATGAATTTGTCTCCTGGACTAACAGGAACGAATGTTGGAAAATCCTTTTACAGGGGGAGTAGAAGGAGAGGATTAACACACAGCAAACTGAAACAAAAAAACTTTAATCTTTAATCATCACTTAATTAATCTGGACCTGGATGTAATGCACCTTTGTTTGTAAGCACTGAGTTCTAAGTTTTTCCCATTAAGGGGAGAAAAGGATTCCCAATCTTCCTGTTGCCAATATCTTAAATTTGTCTGTAATTATGTTGCAATAAGCTAATGGGTACATCTTATCTGAATCAGTCATACACTGGCACACTTTTATCAAATCACCCCTCAGTCTCCGTTGCTACAAGGAGGATAACCCCAGTTTCACGAATCTTACCTTGTCACTAAAATTTGTCGTCCTTTAAAACATCCTGATAAATATCTTCTACACCCTTTCAAGGACCCCCACATCCGTCATAATGTGCTGTGATCACTGGCTTGTGCAGACTTATGTATTATGTGTTCACGTGGTTGACAGATTATCACATGCTGACAATTGTGTGGTGGCATCACAATTGCTCCTTAATATTTCTTCAACTTAGAGCTTTTTTTTTCTGACTCCTGTCCTTTTGATAATCAGTTGCAGACTCCAGCAGAGGATTCAAATATTGAAAACTAAAATTGCTTCAGATGTGAGTTTTTTTGTCAATTTACCTTCAGTTTAGACCTTTTGTCACTAGATTCTATTATGAGAGATGTTCCAAGGCTCTGGGCTGGTGTAACTCCCTTGCTGTAGATCCATTGCTATGCTTCAAGTTTGCCCTCCCTGGTCACCTCTGTCTAACTTCCCCTGCCTCTAATCATGCATGTATTTTAGTTCTGTTAGTATTTCACTGTTACTTTTGCTAACCTTATCTAAATGAGGTTTCCCTTGCTACCCATCCCCTGAAAATGTGCTGCAGCATTTTTATTCCCTGTAATTCTTTCTATACTTGGTGAAATGTTAATTTTGTTTATCTCTGCGCAGTTACCAGCAGACACTGCCTATCCAAAGATACACAAGGAGAAGATGATGTTTGACCCTCTTGAGTCACTGCAGTCCATGTGGTGAAGGTGCTGCCACACTGCTGTCGGGTAAGAAATTACATAAATTTCATTAAGGTGAAGGAGCAGTGGTGCATGTCTAGGTCAACAACACTAATTTTTATTCTAGAGGGCGGTGACGATGCTGATTGGCGGTTGGGGTGAAGATTTGCATCAGCGCAGTCACCACTACCAAACAGGGGTTTGTGGAGGAAGTGTTGTCAAGCTCTTGACCTTGTCCAATTGGTACAAGGTATTTGCTCCCTGTGTGGATGAGTAAAAGGGCTGTAGGGAGGGTGAGCCAACTGACCACTGCACTGTGGCACAGGAGGCCACTTGAGGGGGGAAGCAAAAAGAGAAGTGGTAGTTGTATAATCAGGAGAATAGACGGTATTCTTTGTAAGCAGGATCGAGAGTCTGCATGGTGTGTTGCCTGTTCGGTGCCAGGGTAAGGGATATCTCTGACCGGCTTGAAAGGATATTGGAGAGGGAGAGGGAGAGGGAGAGGGAGGGGGAGGATCCAGTTATTGCAGTCCACGTCAGAACAAACAACATAGGCAAGACTAGGAAAGGGGACCTATTCAGGGATTATCGGGAGCTAGGAACGAAATTAAAGAACAGGTCCTTGAGGGTTATAATCTCCAGTTTACTGCCTGAGCCACATGCAAATTGGCACAAGAATAAGGGAAGTAAAAATGTGGCTAAAGGAGTGGCGTGGGAGAGAGAAGTTCCTTTTCATGGGGCACTGACATCAGTACTGGAACAGGAGGGATCTGTACCACTGGAACAGTCTCCACCTGAACCGAGCTGGGACCAGTGTTCTAGCGAAAAGGACAAATAGGTTGGTCAACAGGACTTTAAACTCATAAGTTGGGGGGAAGGGATGGGTAAAACTTGCCCCAGTGGGGAACAAAACAGCAGGTTAACATCTGTAACAGTAGATTCCACTGTGTGGAAAAATATGAAAAAAATGACGGGAAAGGGGAATTCAGGAGAGGTTATTGAAGTCTCCAGCACAGACACAAATAGGACAGAGTGTTTGGAAAGGGTTAGGAATCAAACTTCAAGCACACTGGATAAACAAGTGACAATGAGAAGAGGGACGGTTAATACAGGACTGAAGGTGTTATATCTGAATGCACACAGTATAAGAAAGAAGGTAAATGAGCTTGTGGCGCAGATCAAAATTGGTAGATATGACATGGTGAGTATCATGGAGACATGGCTGCAAGGACCTGAATATCCAAGGATTTACATCTTATCGAAAAGACAGGCAGGTGGGCAGAGGGAGTGGGGTTGCCTTATTAGTATGAAATGAAATTAAATCAATAATAAGAAATGAATTAGGGTCAGATGGTATAGAATCTGTGTGCGTAGAGTTGAGGAACCGCAGAGGTAAAAAAACCATACTTGGAATTATGGATAGTAGGAACTGCAGATGCTGGAGAATCCGAGACAACAAGGTGCAGGGCTGGATGAACACAGCAGGCCAAGCAGCATCATAGGAGCAGTTTTGGGCCTAGACCCTTCATCAGAAAAGGGGGAGAGGAAGGGGGTTCTGAAATAAATAGGGAGAGAGTGGGAGGCGGATAGAAGATGGATAGAGGATAGGATAGATGGAGAGGAAACAAACAGGTCGAAGAGGCGGGGATGGAGCCAGTAAAGGTGAGTGGAGGTGGGGAGTTAGGGAGGGGATAGGTCAGTCCAGGGAGGACGGACAGGTCAAGGGGGCGGGATGAGGTTAGTCGGTAGGAGATGGGGGTGCGGCTTGAGGTGGGAGGAGGGGATAGGTGGGAGGAAGAACAGGTTAGGGAGGCGGGGATGAGCTGGACTGGTTTTGGGATGCGGTAGAGGGAGGGGAGATTCTGAAGCTTGTGAAATCCACATTGATACCATTGGGCTGCAGGGTTCCCAAGCGGAATATGAGTTGCTGTTCCTGCAACCTTCGGGTGGCATTGTTGTGGCACTGCAGGAGGCCCAGGATGGACATGTCGTCTGAGGAACGGGAGGGGGAGTTGAAATGGTTCGCGACTGGGAGGTGCAGTTGTTTATTGCGAACCGAGCGTAGGTGTTCTGCAAAGCGGTCCCCGAGCCTCCGCTTGGTTTCCCCGATGTAGAGGAAGCCACACCGGGTACAGCGGTGAACATCTGCTTGATGTGGAAAGTCTTCTTGGGGCCTATGATAGGGGTGAGGGAGGAGGTATGGGGGCAGGTGTCGCACTTCCTGCGGTTGCAGGGAAAAGTGCCGGGTGTGGTGGGGCTGGAGGGGAGTGTGGAGCGGACAAG